TTCCAATCTGACGCGGCCCTATTAACAGACCAGGGCTCTAGCAATATTGTTGACGAGATGCTTGATTCGAAAACATTCTTCACTGAATTTAAACAATCAATGGTAAGGATGGGGGCAATTCAAGTGCTTACAGGAAGTTCGATGATTATGTCAGGTATTATATTCTAGGATTACATACATGTAATCAGATTCGATATTAGGGATGAAATACATATTTAACATATTAATCATCCAACTACTTACAAAAGTGGAGGTGCACCCTTGGAACTAAATCCGAATTCAAGCAACATTTGGAAGAATTTCAGAGAACCCTTATGTTTTCTTAGCTCGTTTTGCACAATCATTGATGAAAAAAAAAAAAGAGTGGCACGCATTATGCCTCCGGGAGATAATGAATCGAGAGATTTGGAAAAACGCTTAAACTTTAAAATAAATTTTTGTAATATACCCGTTTATTTAATTAAACACTTTACTATTATTATATTTGAACTTTTAAATTTTTACTTGAAACTAAATCTTAATAAAAAATTAATCGTCCTCAAATTCAATATCAATTTATATTTTTTATTTACATGACATATGACATGATTTAATAACATAATTATGAAATAAAATCAAAATCAAAATTAATTTCAAACCATTAACCGATCGTAAATCGTTCATAAAAAGATAATTTTGAAATAAAATGTGATTCTGTGCATTTGAAGAAATGATTCCACAAGCATCGCTCAATTGATGATTTTAAGGGCTAGTGTTGATTAAGGCCAGCCTGAAGTGCAAGGAGAAATGTCAAAATCAAGGAATATTGCTTTCTGAGTTTGATATTGGTGAATGTTTCTAAATTTAGAGGGGCATGCATCCTTCCCCTTTATAGTAAGTAGAATATATGTATATAGATGTAATAAATCTCAGTTCAAAATAGACTGACCAAAAAATGAGAATACATAAATGGGCATTATCAGGATTTGACTAATATTGGGAATTGGAATATATATATCGTGACAGGCACAAAAGGAAAGTCTAATTGTGTAGAGAATATTTCTACTAAAGCTTAAACAAGTTAGTGGAGACTTATTGGGTTAGACTTCCATTCCAGAAATCTAAAAGAAGATCAAGAGACTGAATGCTAAATCTAATCCTTTATTATAGTTTAAAAAAAGAAAAATTAAATCTAACCCTTTATTAATAGCGTATTTAAAATAAGCTAAACAGCTTATGCAAGTCCAAATACCAAAAATATATGTTGATAATGTTATAACCAAAATTTTCCATCAAGTCCCAAGTGCAACTCTCTCTGACTCTCTCCACCCTTTCTTTCTTTAATGAAACATGTTACATATCATTGCTAGTGTGAATAATTTAATCAATCAGTATAAAGACCACAGCACTAATCTCTAGGCAATTACAACCTGTCCAGTTCGTCTCTATAGCCCATTGGATTCCGGAATGTCATTGAAATTTTAAACAAGGAAATTTTTTCTCTTAGAGGTGTGAAACAAAGTGATAAGATCATGAGACTTCGTCCGGGTACAAACCAAGAAGAAGTCTTAAGTAGAGAGAAGAGCAGAGCTAGCAACTTGCACTAAAATTGCAGGGCATGACTCTGAGCAAATTCACCCTAAATTCAAAGGAAGAAACCGAGGATTTGATCAAATGACCGAGAATCAAGGTGCCGCGTACTGCCATCCTCGTCATAGTTGTGTTTATGTGTATATAATATTTGTGTAAACGGTTCACCGTGATATCATCCAGGTTTCAGGGAACATTAATTTCAAATAATCATCTTCTTTCTAAGTTTGGAAATGAGTTTATGGTTAATTTCAAAAAATCAGTTAATCACTTCTAAAATTTTTGTGAAATCCCCATTTTTATTCTTACCATAAATCGATAAATTGTTGTTGTTCGTTATAAATTTGTAACTTATAAGTATTTCCAACAAAATGTATTTCATTAATTTTACGAGACATTTAACTTTATCTAAGTTTTAATAAGAGAAATTATTGATTTTTTTAAAATGTGAGATTCGGATATTTATCAATTTCATAAAAGAAAAATAGAAAGTTTGTGTTCATTCTTTATTACATATAAGTGCAAATAATTGGAGCTCGCATTCCTTGATTGGGTTGGGACACTAAAATGTTGATAAATTATTGATTAAAAAAATAAGGTCAAATGAATGAATTAGTACTTAAAACTGGAGGTGGCCACCGTCTGATCCAGTCTCATCTGGTTTGTTTAATTGGGAAAGATCAGTTTGAATAATGGAGAGTTCCAAGATATATAGTTAGATTGGTTTTGGAGGAATAAAAAAGAAGTGGGGGGTCATTGACAAAACCCTCAATCTAAGGTTGAAGTTGATTTTAATATTGTTATACTATCATCCTAGCACATGTACATCCATTTCCTTGTCTATATAAAGGAAACTATCTCGAGATGTTAAGCACTAAGCTCAATTGTGTTTTGATCTTTTCTTGTTCAATTTTGATTCTAAAATCCGGTGAAAATGAAGGCTGGATATAGCATTTTCGTTATCTTTGTTTCTCTTGCTTTGTTTGGAATAGTTGAGGTTTGCAATGCACGTAGTACGCATGGGTTTAGTAACCTGAGTTACTATTACTATAGGAGAACTTGCCCACGGGCTGAGAAGATTGTAAGAGGCATCATCCAGGCAAGAGCCCGGACTAATCCAGCTTTGGGTGCTAAACTTGTCAGGATGCAGTTCCATGACTGCTTTGTTAGGGTAACTAATACAAAAATTTATTTCAAAACAATGTGTTTTTCCAGGTTTCTTGGGGAGCCAAGCCAAGTACCGACTCTATTTTTGTTTCTTCTTTTGGTGATGAATATGTTTGTTATGCTAGGGATGTGATGCATCTGTGCTGCTGGACACAGTCAATAGCAATTTTCCGTCTGAGAAGAAAGCAGTTCCTAATCTATCTTTGTCTGGTTTCGACGTGATCGACGATATCAAGACTGCACTAGAAAAAGCTTGCCCAAAGGTTGTTTCCTGTGCTGACATTCTTGCCTTGGCAGCTCGTGATGCAGTTTCCGCCCCGGTAAATAACCAATTTCTAAAGTGAACTATACAATGCAGCAGCAAGTATATATGATTAGTAACATTTCAAATATTTTGTTATATTACAGTTTGGGAGGCGCCTCTGGGACGTGCCTCTTGGAAGAAGAGACGGTAGAATTTCCCTTGCTTCTGAGATCAATGGAAACATCCCTGGACCCTTTGCAAATTTCAGCAGCCTGTTGCAAACATTCAACAAGAAAGGTCTTGATGTTAATGATCTCGTGATTCTTTCAGGTATAAGTTTCCTTTCTGATTTACCGATTTATACTTGCACAAGCATGTTCCTATGTTGACAAAAGCTTGCCTTAGTGGCATGCATGTGACATTCGAATAAATCTATGAATTTCCCTGAACAGGTGCACATACCCTCGGTGTTGCTCACTGTGGAACTTTCTCAAGGAGGCTTTACAACTTCACCGGCAAAGGCGATGCTGACCCTAGCTTGGACCCAACATACGCCATCTTCCTGAGAAAGCAGTGTCCCAACCCAGCAAGTACGACCATCACTGTGGAAATGGATCCTGGAAGTTCACTGAAATTCGACACGCATTACTACGACATCTTGCTGCAAAACAAGGGGCTTTTCCAATCCGATGCTGCACTTCTTACAGACCGGTACTCGAGAAGGTTGGTGACTACGTTCCGAAGAAAACGTGAATTTTTCCCTGCCTTTGCGAGGTCAATGATGAAGATGGGAGCCATTGGAGTTCTCACTGGAAATGCAGGAGAAATCAGGGCAAACTGCAGTGTTGTCAATCCATGAAAAGGATTCCATTTGCATCCCAATCACTTGCATTCTTGCATGATCTCTAGATGTATTGCATTCGAAATTCTAGGGAAAGAATAATGAATCAATACAACAACAATCGAATAAACTTTTTAAGCAAATTAATCATGTGTACTATTTTGATGCAATGTAATAAACTGACTCAGAACTCAGAAGAGTTAATTCATTGTAGGCATTTTTCGCCTACATTCATTCTCCATTTTGCAAGCCTTTTTCGATGTTTCTCGCCCATTTTTCAATTATCCCATATTGAAAAATTAATTAAATATAATTTAGGGACAGTCCAAAAATCCAAATCATATGAAAAAATTATAATAATATTTATTCCAAGTAGCACATGATTTCATCAATTACAATATTATCTCTTCTTTGTATTGTTCTTTTCCTTCCATTTAAAGCATCAATCAACGAACACGTTTTTCCAGTCAACAACTTCTTTTTTTTTTTTTTGCTAACTTCCTTTGACTTTATACTTGAATTTTCTAATTTATTATTCCATTTGTTAAACCATGTTGTACCTTTTACCACGCTTGATTAATTAAAGCATCCAATTTCTCTCTTTCTTCCTCGTCTCCATACTTACATATTTCAAAAAATTCCAAAAACGTGTCGATTTACGTACATAATTAATAAAATACTATGTTTTAATCAGATATCATCTTAATAATTCATTGCTCATATACATGCAATAAGTTTTGTATATTAATGCCATTTTCATCGTTGGGTTATTTACTTTTACTATAAAAATTCAAAATTCAGAATAAAATTATGAGAGGGGAATTTCATTTTTAATTTAATGTAAGAAATTGACTTGACTCCAGGAATTATGAGCTTCATAAAACAAATAATTTAAGATAATTAACGGTCAAATTTTTTATATATAGGGCAGTTACTTGGCAAAGGGCAATAAAGGAATTAGAAATTTGGTCCAACTTGATTAGTGGGTAATTGCCGGGGAAACGCAAAAGTTAAATTCTTTTTTATCTTCCCAAAATTAACTGTTGGTAATTCCCTCTTTGGTATATAACCGCAACCTTAATCATACAAATTCAAAATAATTACTGCCATAAAACCACATCTTCCCCTCTATCTTTTCACATTCCTTGTGTTTTGATCACTTCGGTTTTTACAGTTTCAATGGCAAATGAGAAGGAAAAGGATGAAAAAGAGGTAAGACTGCAACATCTCTCCAACCCCATTACATCCATAATTCTACTGGTGGGATTGATTTCTTCTTCCCTTGTTCATTGGCAAGGTAATTGTTGCAGAATTTAAAATTTCAATGCATTGCAACGCATGTGAAAGAACTGTTGCCAAAGCCATTGCTAAATTGAAAGGTACCCTTTTCTCCAATTCTCTGTAAATTTTCCCATGATAAACTTTCGTTTATCTCAGATTAGTAATGTTTTTTCTTTTCTTATCTCAATTTTTTTACGTATACAGGTGTGGAGAAATTTACGACAGATATGAATAAACACAAAGTCGTAATAATAGGTAAAATCGATCCACAAAAAGTGCTGAAAAAACTAAAAAAGAAGACAGGAAAGAAGGTAGAAATTGTGGTTAAAGAGAAAAAAGAAGAGATTTCAAAAGATACAAGTAACGAGAATTTTAAATCGTTTGTAAATTCATTACCGTTGAGTAGGCGTAATGAAGCATTGATGATGATGTTTAGTGACGAGAATCCAAATGCATGTTCAATCTTGTGAAAGAAAATTCATTGCATCTCAGACATTATGACAAAGAGAAAAGATAAGTTTAGAGATACCAAATGTATTAATGAAATAAAGAAAACAACTTGATTATTTTGGATTGTCTACCTTTCTTGGTTTTTATCCATTAGTGCTTCAAAACATGGACTCAAATGGGACAAGTAATATCAAGTTTTCTAATTTTGATAAGTCGATAAGATTCGAGCTAACCATGTTCATTGAATTTTAAATAAACACATCATCTTGTTATATATATCTTGAGGGATGATATGATAGAGAATTACTCTTTTGTCTCTCTTTCTCTTTATCCATCTATTTTTGTGAAAATGACAAACAAATTTAGACAAAGGTGTACACTACAATTGTTATTTAAATAGCTTCAAAAAGCAACCAATTGACTCATTTTTCAATTCTCTATTCTCCATTATACCACCATTTCCTGTCTTGAGAACCCACGTTGTCCTCCTTTCTAGTGGTATCTTTTCTTCGTTGGGAATGGCATAGACACAGCAGCCAATCAAATATCTCCACTGACGAACCCTACCGAACATTGGACTTGGATTTGAAAGCAGAGTGATGGGGTAAATGTTTTACATATTTCTTTTGGCCTTTTTTTTTTTACCTTTGGTTTTGGTACACGCATTGTTATGATGTGTGTCATATCTTTTGCACCGCCCTTTGCTTTGTTGAAGAAGAGGTGTCAATTGCATACAAACGAAAGCCCCACTAGAGTTTTCTTTGCCTTTGGCCAACCTGACTTTCCATGGCTCTTTCCTGCTCAAGCACCTTTGCATTTCTACAAACAGTGATGCCTAACTATCCATTGGTAGTTGGAGTTCTTTAATATTTGTAATGGAAGTGAAGTCAAACATGCCCCAAATCTTTTTATCCATTAATAAAGAGAATGGTGCATTTGAAGCTTTACCTTCCACTTGCAAGCTGCCACCCCACACCTATAATATTTGTAATGGAAGTGAAGTCAAACATGCCCCAAATCTTTTTATCCATTAATAAAGAGAATGGTGCATTTGAAGCTTTTCCTTCCACTTGCAAGCTGCCACCCCACACGTATTGATTAAAAAAAGGGCAGCTATCTAGGTCTTTACTTGACGGAAATTCAATGCCACTATCGAGTCTTTGAAGAGAACTACCAAGTTGGCCAAGTGTCATGCATGCATAGATTTAGCTCATAATGTTTTCGTACATGTATCACTATTGATGACATTGCCATCCACTAAATCTGAATGATCTAACAACATGCTCGATGGTGGAAGAATTTCATAAAAGGCAGGGTGGCTCCTCCCTTTGATTTAATACCAACAAATTGTTGACAACATGCAGGGCTAGAAGATCGGATGGTAGCCAATTACTTAGCCGTAAATGCATTATTATGCCAAAGGTGGCAAGACTTCCAACATTTGTGAATTCAGATATTAATTTCTAAGTTTAAATCAAATTGTTCTGTTACATATTACATTATATGGTAAAGTCGTACTATTGCTAGGATATGATTCTTCTTTTTACATCAATGTAACATGAAAAACAAAATTTTGTACATTATGGGAAATTCAAGCTGATGGGGTTCTTCAGTTTCTTGAGGACATAATCTCAAGAGCCTCTCTTTTTTGTCCGAGTATATTGAATACTGTCGCCGCAATGTGTGATGGTGTAAGACCAGCTTCGGCCAACTGGTCAGTTGGTGATCCATGGTCTATATACCGATCAGGAAGAACAAGTGGCCTCCACTGCAAATTAAATCGGAAGTTTCAATGCAAAGAATAAGGATTCTATGGCTAAACCACTTCCAATTACTACAGCTATGGACGAAGTTCAAGTACATGATTTTAGATTGATACCTTTACCGTGCCATCAAGAAGACCGTCAAGGGCAAGGAACTGTGCGACATGAGAACCAAAGCCCCCAATTGATCCTTCTTCCACTGTAATGAGAACCTCATGTGATTTTGCCAGCTTGCGGATGAGAGTGTGATCCAATGGTTTACAAAATCGGGCGTCTGCAACTGTCAGCCGTAAGCCATGTGATGCCAATAAAGAGGCAGCACCTAAACAGCTCTGAACTGCTGATCCATAGCCTAATAGTGCCACTCTTTCCCCTTCAATCAGTACCCTGCCTTTTCCAATCTGTAGGAATATTAAAAGCATTTTGAAGTTTAGTTAGTATGTTTCCTTAGTTTTTTCTTCTTCTTTTTCACAATAGGAACATGTAGAAGCTTGGGTCGAAAGTCACCTCAAGTGGAACTCCTTTGTTTCCAGGTGGCAGCTGAACTCCCACCCCATTTCCTCTTGGGTAACGGAAACAGCTGGGACGGTCATCTATGGCAGCAGCCGTGGCAACCATGTGAAAAAGCTCAGCTTCATCAGAGGGAGCCATGACCACCATGTTGGGAAGGCATGCCATAAAAGTGACATCAAAAGCCCCGCAATGCGTGGGACCATCTGCACCAACAAGGCCAGCTCTGTCCATTGCAAATCTGACAGGCAGCTTCTGCAGATCAACATCATGTACAACCTGTTGCAGCAAATAGAGCACATTCTTAATGAATTTGATGCAGAATTTTAAATTAGTACACAGAATATTAATCTTTTACAATTTGTAAAAGAGAGGAAATAATGTAGAAAGCTTTAGTAGCTTGCCTGGTCATAAGCCCTCTGCATAAATGATGAGTAGATTGCACAAAAAGGTTTGAGGCCTTCACAGGCAAGACCTGCGGCAAAAGTGACAGCATGTTGTTCTGCTATCCCAACATCAAAACATCTCTCTGGGAAACGGCGAAGGAAGAGATTTAATCCTGTTCCACCTCCCATTGCAGCATGGATGGCAATAATATTTTTGTCTGCCTCTGCTTCTGCAATCAAAGCCTCTGCAAAATATGTAGTGTATGACTGGGTAGCAGAACTGCCTTTGAATTGCTTTCCAGTTGCCGGATCAAATTTTACCACTCCTAAGAAAAGAAAGCCAAGTACAATTTATTCTTTTTTATTCTTTAAAGTAATGTCATAAATCAAGATGGTTAAAGTAAATCATACGCAGTGATATCTCTTCTAAAAAGGCTTTTTATACCATGGTACTTGTCAGCAGCTCTCTCTGCATACGGATAACCTCGGCCTTTCTCAGTGACAACATGGATCAAAACCGGACCTGTTGTTTTAGTACTCTTAACCTCTTTGAGAATAGAAACTAAATCATCTATATTGTGACCATCAACAGGTCCAATATAATATAGTCCAAGCTCTTCAAAAAGTGTTGACCCGGAACCACTGATCATTCCACGAGCATACTCATCAACCTTTGCAGCCAGTTCATGCATAGGCCCACCAATTTGCTTGGTAACTCCCTGCAACAAGTCCACATCTAGTTCCAGTTATTTTTAGTTTCCAGGCAAAATAGTTTTATTTATTCCACTTCTACACTTTTTCTACTTTACCTTGGCAACCTCTCTTAGTTCTCGAAGAGGCCTGTTTGATTGCAGCCTACTAAGAGCACTGCTCAAAGCTCCCACAGGTGGTATAGGTCCATCTAGAGTAGCAGTTGGCAGAGAAACTTGTTTATTGTCATTAAGAATAACAATCATATCAGAATCCAGGTATCCCGCATTGTTCATGGCTTCATAAGCTTGCCCTGCTGTCATGGCACCATCACCTATAACAGCAACTACGTTATTCCTTTCTCCCTTTATATCCCTGCCCACAGCCATTCCTGTCCACCCAAAACATCAGCACAATTATATCTCTGTAGGCCAAGTGAACAAGGCTTTACATAGTGGGATAAGAAATAGGACTTCACCATATTGACTTCAAAAGTATTGACTGGGGAGAAAAAGCAAAAGTTCTTGTCCTGTACGGTTATAATACAGCAAAAATTGCATGCTAGCAGAAGAACAAGGCATCTATATCTAACCACTTCTTAGAAAAACATCCCAGAAATAAAAAAGATAAACAAAAGTGTATATGCACACCCCTTTAGTTATGGAAAAATTATTCAAAAGATTTACATGCAACACAAGGAAAACCTTGGGACAGATTTTAGAAAGAATTTGGTGTATATACTTTCCACATGTGGTATCTTTGACTAGGAAAAGTTTGAGTCCAATATCGGTTATGTGTTACAACTTATTAACCGAACTATGCAAAATGAATGGAAAAGGATGAGGTTAATACCCAAGCCCGCAGAGATTGTGGTTGAACTGTGACCGGTGCCAAAGCAATCATATTCACTCTCTGATCGTTTTGTGAATCCTGCCAATCCATTAGTTTGCCTCATAGTATGCATCTTATCTCTTCTCCCAGTCAAGATTTTGTGAGGGTAAGACTGCAAATCAAATGAACTCTCATCAGAAAGATTTTTCCTTTTTCTGTTAATTAGAGTAGTATTAAGTCTTTCACGGTAAGCTATAAGAATGAAGACACTAAGAAAAGTGATAATTGAACCTGATGACCAACGTCCCATAATATTTTGTCTTTAGGGGCATTGAAGACATAATGAAGAGCCACAGTGAGTTCAACCACACCAAGGCTTGAGCCTAAGTGACCCCCAGTTTTCGAAACATTGAAAATTACATCAGCGCGCAATTCATCTGCTAGTTGTTTTAGTTCCTGTGTTGACGATTATTCAAACATGCAGTTTAGGAGAGTTCTCCATATTCCCATATGAAAACAGAGATTAAGGTGTCATAATCCAAACATAATTTGACATGTTTTGGCTGTTTTACCTTGACAGAAAGATTTTTCATGTGTATTGGATAGTTTATAGTGTCCAAGAGAGGTGTTGGTGGTCTCTGGGAGTGATATTCTGCTCTCTCTGATAGTGATGCACAAACCCCACCTGGCCTTTTCCTGACCTGTACTTAATCAAAACAAAAACACCAATTTCTTTCAATAAAAGTTTCGAATACTTATAACTGAAAACCTAAAAATTAACTGAATTCCAAATCAAAGAGGCAAAACCCAAACCAAGGAATGGATAACAGAAAATATAAAAAGAGAATATATTGGTGGGCTCTCCCTTTCTGATAACGAAACTAAACCCAGTAAGCAATACTCAAAAACGTTTTAAATAAAGTAAAAAACTTCGAATTTAGTAAAAACAAAGAACCAACTCTTACAAAAATTTGACAAAAATGAACAAAACCCAGTTTTTCTCCTCACATGAAAGACAAGTGAACTTCCATTTTGACATTACAAACCTGATTGAGCTTATGTAATGGCTGGAAAAGCAGATCTGTCCCAGCAAGCAAATGAGACGTAAAAGGAGTAGACTTTGGAGGATCTAAAGCTGCTGCCCGGTTGATATGAACGGGAAATGAAAATGCACAGAGAGCCATGGCAAAGAATATACAGAGAGAAATGGAACTATTAACAGGGCTCTTAAAAAGAGCTGTCACTAGAGCTCAAAATGAGAACAACCCAGAAAAAGTCTCCAAGGTTTGGAGTGCAAGAGTGAAAGAAATCCACTCAATGAAGACGATTTATAAAGTATTTGGTCATGGCTATGGACTGTCTTTTCACTGTGTTTATTGCTGACGCTAGTGGGGGAGAAACTTGAATTTGGACTAAGCCTAATTTCTTAAAAATTAACAAATATAAATAAGAAAAAAGGAAAAGAGAGATCAGCCTTCCGAACACGCCTGTGGACTAAAGGTGGCAGTTAAAAAACCAAGAAAGACACCGAGCTTTTTGATCTTTGGTTTTCCATTCATTACAGGGTTTTTATTACTACAGGGACAGCCAGGCTAGGCTGCAATGCTTCAGGATTGAAGTGGCAGGTCGTTCTCTCATTGGGCCACGTCAATGGAAATCACGAGTGGATAGATTGGGAGATAGATTGTGCAATGTGCGCCTACTTTTGCCATTGTATCTATTCCTGGATGGAGAGACGGGTTTGTCCTTTACCACCCACAATCTGGTCTTTTAGGCTTTGGATACGCCTGTCGTCTCATTGGTTGATGTGAAAGACAGACTTCACCTCTTTTATTCTTCATTTTTGTGAATCTTACCGTCATTTTCAAGTAAACCGTGGCGTCTTCACATTTCAAGTTTCAGATTAATTGTTTCAAACGGTACTTGCCATGCATGGCTCACGTGGGTTATAAAATAGTTTAGGTAGCCATTAACGGTCCTGGGCCTTCCATGTTCATAACCCAAGAGACAGTTGAATGAAATAATCGAAATTTAGTCATGTTTAGTGTTGATATCATCATTAATCATCTTATAATAACAACCATGGTGATGCTGCAATGCAAGCAGCCAAAGACAGATTGCCAAATCTGGAAACCACTAGTTATGTGGGTATCAAGCTTGCCTTTGATTCTTCTCGGCCAAAGTATGATAAAATTGGCTTACACTTCTATAATTTGAACTTTTTTCACGTAACGTTTTGTATATTTTTTTCAATTAGTTTTTTTATAGATAAATTTTATTTTCGAAATGGTTGCAACTTTTATTTTATAAAATAATCAACAAGATATTCTCTATTCAAAAGTTAGTCAAACTTTTTATATTTAATGAATATTTTGATAATTTTATTAAAAAAATTAATGTTGTAAATGAAAAAAAAATTAAAATTACAAGAAATGTATGTAAAGTTTTTTTTATTAAAAAATTAATGAGTTGAATTTTATGATTTTTTAAAAAATGACACCTTAAATCTTATCATTTTAGTTAGGTTGAAATGACTCATTAGTGCCACCTATAAGTAGATAACCAAAATTAAAGCACCGTTAATGTCCTGCTATTCTTCGTTTGATTGGTCAAAAATAATTTTCATCAGGATAAAGATACATGCACAATCTCATTTTAATACATATTCACATCACGTGAATGTAGCTAGTCAAAATTAAAGTACCATTAATGTCTTGTTATTCTTTTGATTGGTCAAAACATAATTTTAATCAAGATAAGGATATATGTCCAATCTCATTCTAATAAACAATAGACATAATGTAGGATTCATAATTCTTTTTTAAGATTATGACATCCTCTGGGAAAAGAGAAGATGTTATGATTTTATCGGAGAGTCACGAATCTCACATTTATGTATTAGAATGAGATATAACATTTAAAAGTTCACAATCTTCAATTTATAGTTTTTTTTTTAAATAAAATTATGGTTAAAAGGAACAATATCGTTGGTGTAAATTATGAAAATAAAAGAAAAAATGAGAAAAAGAAAGCAGACTTAAAGCTAGCTATCCTTCAATTTTCTTTTATGAAAACCAACAATTGGCTCAAAAATTGGCCTACGGTCCTCTGCTGTTATTGAAAAGAATAAATGAAACAAGTTCTGACCATGGAAAGCACTAATTCTTCCATTGACTTCAAGAGGTTATTTGAAAGTTCCAAGTCTTAATGCAAATTTCCAGTCAGATAATTGACAAACATCATCCTTTGCCAAACCATAGGCTGCGCCAGGGATTGATTGCTTTTGGCCACCTTGACTTGGCATTCGTATTCAAGTCCATTTTCTTTGTACCAAACATGCTTCTTGCAAAAACAGTGACGAGGTAAATGAAGATGCCACTTGCTCAAATGGAGAAACACACAGCAAAAAGGCAGAGAGAACATTGCAATATGGGCAACCCCATTAACTCGAGGATAAGAACCCTCTGTCGTTTTCAATCAGTACTCGAATTCTAGAGCCAACGGCAGTGATCCATTAAGATGATGCAAGGTGCAAGGTGCAAGGTGCAAAGTTTTTTCATGGAAATGGGACACACTGACTGCAAAAGCCATCTTTGGTAGGCCAGATACCATAGAATATGAAATCTGCAAAAGCTGCCAATCCATTATAATTATCATTCATAGACAGATAAAGAGGAGCTCTGATAAATAGACCAAGGCTTTTCCTTGTTTCATTTTGCTTGACAGCTTGATTCTTTCCCTTGTGGCTTGTGCCATTATCAATGGTTAAAGGAACACAACATTTTTTATCTCACACCACAATTTCATTTTCAGAACCCACGCCAACCCCACTATGCATATCATGGAGGATGGAGATCACGTTTAATTTAGGGAGAAACACCTGCCAACTACCATCACAAACATGTTCGTGAAATGAGAAGACAGTGCCCAATTTGAAGAGTTCCATCACTGGAAAATATCAAGCATGTGATCTATGCAATACCGTGTGAATTTTGTGAAATATTATTGTTTTTTTCTAGGATTAAATGCTTCTCATTTACAAGTTCATAAAGTTAATGGTACTTTTATTTCCAGACATCTACATAAATAATGCAGCATTTAACACATGATAATGATCCTCAATAATTCAAACTTTGGCCCATACCCTGGAGGATTGAACCAACAGGCCATATGGCAATGAAAAAATCATGCTCGACTTGAGAGAGGGAGGGAGGGAGAAAAAAGGGAGCATAATTGATGGAGAAACAAATACAAATAAAGACAGACGCACTTTATTCAAGCTGACATAATCTGATATTGTCGACAAGAAACAGCACTTGCACTTTGATTTAAAAATTGATGGAAAACAGAACAGCTGATACATAATAGGTTCCTTATTTCATTTTTTGTTCTGTGAAAAGAACATGGCGATTTACCCGAGGATCATACTTGCGAAACTCAAGTTTCTCTGCCACTTTCTTAGCACTTTTCCTCTTCACATAGAAGAACCCAGTCCCAGCAGCCGAGACAAGCCGGATAAACATAAAAGTCTTTTTCTTCTTGTCACCCATTCCTGAACGTACAAGGGAAAACACAATCAATTCAGTAGAAGCAGAAACTTTTTATTAGAAAACAATGTCTTTACAAATTAGCAATACGAAACATTTTTTATCCTACCATTCTGTATACGTATGAGTAAAAGTGTATTTATTATATAAACTTAATTGATCTACGGTTTTAGATCCACACATGCATATAAATTTGGGCTCCACAGCAAGTGAGCAACCGTCTGGGTCCAAATACATACAATAAACATCAAATATGTCGACAAGTAACACATAAAGCACTCCACCATCCACATCTCTACAGCACTCAAAAAGAACAGAATTGTCTATGAGCGGGGTGGCCCCTCCAGGCCAACAATTGCAGTCAATTTGAGCTAGGAACAAATATTTACCTGAGATCAGCTCGACTTGAATGACTAATTGATTGTATAAACAAATCTTCTTAGTTTTTTTTGAAGTATAAGTTAAAAAGCTTGCAGAAAGCGGGAGGGAGGTTGTTAAGTGTTCAAGGAAACAATAACTTTCAGCCCCTTAATTTGCGGCTAAAGTATACAAAAATGAAGAAAATTTATAATGTTGCAAATTGCAAATATGAATAAATCATAGTCATTGACTTATTAATATAGGAATTAACGAAATAGCAAGAGCTAAATTTCACAGCATTTCCACCCCATCAACTCATTCCCTTCTCTAAAGCTGCCAAAAAAAAAATCCCTACGACAAACACTAGTAAAAACTAAACACCCAATTGCTAATCAATCACCATTTCTGTAGGTTTATGAGCATACACCTAAGCTAAAAAGCCAGAGACATCGCTGAATAGCCTTTCTTCATTATATCAAAACCCCACTCTGCCCAACAATTTAAGTCGATCAGATGCCAGGCATCTCATCCACTTCAGAAGAAAAATGGGTTCTAGCCACAATTCAGAGTACAAAGCTAAAACATATAGTACTACAAAGAACCATCACTCCTAATGAAAAAACAAAACCCATCTTTTGCAACAATGCAATGAAAATGAAAAGGGAACTATATGGTTAAAATCAATACTTGAAAATTCCACGCTAACATCAGATCAAATATCTCTGTAAATTCCAGCAAACTCAACATGTTCTCTATCACAGATATCATACGGAACAGAAAAGATGAAGCAAAGAAGAGATATCAAGGAAGTAGCTTTAGCATTAGATCAAGTAACAAAATTTGAACTTACTGTTAAATTGTCTCGGAAATCACTGTTTCAATATTGGCCGAAGAGAAAGAAGGGCAAAGAAATTGAACAAAGCGAAGGGTTTTGGGAGGAAAGTGAGGCAGAAATATAAAACCCCAGGAGCTATATAAAATGACATAAATACCCTTCAATCTAAAAAGAATTACCAATTGGTTCCACCGTTAGCATCGGTTGGCATTTTCCTCAGTGCCTTCACTGCCCTAGAACTTTAGACCCCCCTTTCTCTCCTCAGTCTTCTCTCTCAGTTGAAGCAAATACTCAATTAATTGATAAGGTAAACGATTAATTCCCAATAAATTTTCTTTCTTTTTTCCTAATTGTAGAAACCTTGGTACTTGTTGAGAAAAAATTTGGATCTTTCTTTATTCTTCGTTTTTCTTGGGATTGGTGCAGAAAGAAGTGATCTTTGTCAGGGGTGGGGTGGAAATGGCGAGCGTGGTAGATGCGGCGGGAGAACCGATCCCGACATCGTCGGTGCTGATGTCAGCAGCGAAGCACATAGAAATTACATGTATGTCGGAGAACGTGGAGTTCCTCAAGTGTAAGAAGAAAGATCCAAATCCTGAGAAATGTCTCGATAAAGGCCGCCAAGCTACTCGCTGTGCCCTTGGCGTGTAAGCATTGATTTTCAGTCTTCCATTTCTCAAAATTATTTGTTTTTTTGTTCCTTTTTTTACTGAATTTTTTCATATAAGATAATGTTGGAATTGAAAAAGAAATTGAAATGGTCTGATTGAAGCCATGATTAAGTAGGACTATTAGATTTTAATCCTTTTAATGGAAATGTAGCATGTGAGAACTTTTGAATTGGATTTTCAAGGTTTTATACTGTGAAAGTGAAGCTAAAAAGAACATGGGATTGGCCTCATCACTGCGCAAGGGGGGAGGGGGAGGGGGAGGGAGGTGGGGGAAGGAGCCTTTAGCATTGGTTTCGAATTGTTGATTGAAGCTAAGTTTAAGTTTTGTTAGGAGTAGAAGTGCTTTCTTATGATCAGGCTAAGTAGATTCTGATTAAACCTCGAACTGATGATTCCTCTTGGTATGTTAGTTTGGTTTTGTGGTTAATTTGAAGAAGTTTTACATCGGTGTAACATAGACGAATCAAGTCGTAATTAGGTGGCCTTCTCTTTGTGTTGATTGTAACCATAGGGCTTCCCACTTCTTTTATTTACAGAGTAGGTTGCCAGTTGTTTGCCTTGTTCACTTACTTTGTATCCGATTACATGGGAAGGAGCATTTTGTAGCTTAAAAATGCCCTAAATACTGACTATCTTTTGGTTCTTACTTGTGAGTTACCCGAAAGCTACCGTTTCCATTTTGATATAGAATTTTTATGAAGTTCCAAGGCAACAATAATTAGATCATGGCAGCATTACATGATGTAGAACTAGGTCACTATTTCTTTACTCTTTTAGAGTGCATATCTGAAACAAATTAGAACTTAGTGATTCAAAATATCCTCTTGAAGTTATAGTACCTTTCAATCTTTTATCTTTGTAAAGTCTGCTCTACCGTTCGTTTTAGCAATAGTGATATCGAATCCCTTGAAGGTAAAATGTGGGAGCTTGATATTTCACTCTTTTCTTTCTTTATCTGCCAGTTTAATTTCGTTCCAACCTAATAAGGACCTCATTCCAATTGCTTAGTTTCTTCGAATGGCTTTCTTTTATATATTAAAGCACGCATCCTCTTTGCTTCTCTTTACTGATCAGTAGGAACATGGTACCTTCCTATTCCTGGGTTAGATTGAACAGTCGGTTTTTCTTGCGTGTGAATCATCTGTACTACTAAGTTAGCTTGTATATTGATGCTCGATGTAGACAACTTAAGTTCATAACAGCCGTTTATGAAAATCTAAATGATTATATATGCATGAATGTAGCACAATTTCCAGGGAACTAAGCATTACCTTAATACACAGTACAATGAGTATTACCTCATCGCTTTAATAGATTGTTTTCTTAATCATGGAATGTTTGACTTTGCAGGCTAAAAGATCTTTATCAGAGATGCAAAGACCCAATGGAAACTTATGTCGGATGCATGTATTACCACACGAATGAATTCAATTTATGTCGCAAAGAGCAGCAAGCATTTGAGAAAGCATGCCCTTTGAAGTGATTGGCAAACAAACACCTGTAGTTCCATGGTTGAAATAAGTTAGGCCAGTTTGCAATGAGCAAAAACTGTTGTTGCGTACACTAATATCCAGCTTTCCATGTGAAACGCATTGTCTCCCTTTTGTATGGTTAAAGATTGGTCTTGGGAAAAATTTTTTTCTTTTTCAAGAGAAAATGACTCCACCGCCATTTTTGAACATAATCAATGATGAGTGATTCATTCATGATCTTTTCTTTTGTTATTGGCTGCTAAAAACATGTAGGTTTCTTGGAACCGAACCGCATAAATCCGGTACACTGCAATTTTATAATTCTTAGTACCGAACATAACGCAGAATCAGCCTTGTGTCAACTTCTTGAACAAAACAGAAAGAGCTCGTTTTGTTTAACTGGTAACGGTAATGGGACTTCTATGAACTTATTTGGAGAGAGAGAGGTTAGCATTCTGATAACTTGAAAATCCGCCAGGAATAACATTGTATTTGAATAGAATCAGAACTGCATCTTCCCACATCAACAGTGAGAATAGACACAAAAAGGGTTTTACTAGGCAACTTCCGATGTTTCAGGAGACGCTTATCATACACAATATTCTGAACCGCATAAGTATATTCAAATGTCTTTTTGGTGGATTCTGCCAGGCATTAATGGGTTCACACCAAAAAAGGTGTCGAATAATCATTGGTCAGCAGCAACCAGGTTTCACTCACACCTCAAACAGCAAAGCAGGAAAGAGCATAGAATAAGCTCCATCAGAAATCACAACTCCAATTTGACACATACTAAAGATCAATCCGTTAAAGATGTAAGGTAGATTGCAACATCAGTCAGACATTGTATCTCAAAATCCTTAAAAACAAGATGCAGCCATACATCTAAGAATACTTAAAACTGCTAGAGTTTGAAAACGTCCTTAATCTTCCCATACTAACTCATAATATTACCTTCACCTAAAATAAACACCAAAGTAACACATATTACAGTTTCCAGCAGCAACCACATGCACATCACCACAAGAAGGCACCATAATTGGAAAAGGTACTAGCGAGGACTGCAGAGAAGAAAGCACCACAATTTGTAACTTCAGCTGTTGTGCAGGACTCCAACTGCAAGTATCAATAAAAATGTCAGAAAGTTGGAAAGCACCTACCTGAAGGATCGTGAATGAGACCTTGAAGGACTGAGACTGTCACGCCTTGGACTCCTTGGCCTGCCACGCGCATAGCCTCTCTCATCATGGGAACTCCGACCATTCTCCCTAGGACTTGGGGACCTTGGCTTGGTTCTGTATTCCCTATCACCATGTGGAGAACGTGCAGAAAGAGACTGTGTAACAGATCTAGATCGCCTGGGAGAGCAATAATCATCTTTTGCCCCATGATCCCTTGAAATAGATCTAGAGCGACTGCGAGAGCGATAGTCATCTCTCATTCCCCGATCCTGTGAAATTGATCTAGATCGCCTGAGGGAGCGGTAATCATCTCTCACTCCCCGATCCCTGTCCCCAGTTTCAAGTGAAAACAGAATGCATAAGAAACTATTACTCCATACAAATAACACATATAAGGACTGTAAGGGAAACAAAATCTATTCAGTGCATATAACAACATTAAATAGTATGTATAGAAAGGAGTTTTTCACTGTTCACAAGGCAAACCTCTTCCAATATAAAACAGATGATACGCATGAAGATGACAACAATTTCCTACAAGCATCCTCGCACAAATCAACGGATTAAAATATTGACCTTTACCTGCACCTTTCCAGTGTTTCTGAACAAATATATAACACTTGGATCCAAAAACTGAGTTAGGCTCTATAACGTTGTACTGGTTGATCAGCTGCTGACAACTTCATAGCTCTCTTTGCCCCAACTTTCTAAAACCTCAAATTATCTTTTTCTTGGACAATGCCAACAAATCTCTACCAGTAAATACTTTGATTGGCTTCCTTTGTTTGAGGATGATTCTTTCTTTGACCAAATATAAGCTCTAAATTCTTTCTTAACTGGATAGTATATGAAAAGAAGATATCAAACTTAACAAATTTTCTCATGAAAAAAACTAATTAGCAACTCATATGCAAAAGAAAAAGATAAGGTACTCCTGTGATTTTAATCATCTCACAAACATTTTAGCTGGTCAGTTCATTCAATGGCAGCAAGCCTCACAAACCCAAAGTCAATGAACAAGACCCCGTTCAATTTGTAGTCAATAGCTGGAGAAGGTGGAATTATGGAAAATACTTATGGAGAAGCTTTGATAGAAAATCAAGTTGTCCATCACTTTATGATCTCTTTATCTTTATTAATCCAGAAGACTTTAAAATCTCCCTTTTCACTTTACTATCTGCATAAACAAGGCCACCACAGTATATATTATTTTAATTTACTGGAAGACATAGCATTATGTCTAAGCGACAACGATCATTGAATATTAAAATTTAAACAAACACAAAGGAAAAACAAAAGGAAACTAGAACTTAAGCTCGGCAGCTTCCAAAAATTTAGCGCTGACCATTGTAATGCACAGCTTCATTATCACCATTAACAAATTAAATTGAAAGAGATGAGAAGGTAAATGAATTTTCCTATTTCACTGGTGATATAACATCAATATAATGCTAGCATTAAGTGAATAAGAGTAAGAAATCAAAACAAAGCCAAAGAAATTATCCATAGCTACCACTTTTATTCGTCTTCCTAACTATGCCACATGGGGAGACCCACAGAAAGTAGTTACTTTTGGACACTTGCATGAAATGAGGGAAGACAGTATTTGTTATCGGACTTGATTATCATCATGTCAACATTAATAAACAACTTATGAGTTAAAGTACTGCCTAAATTATATGGACAAACACATCATAACATTCCAATTGCTCTCAGCTTCATGGGTTATAATTTCCATATATTCCTCTATAATCAAAAGAAAGGATAATAGAATCCATAGTCAATAATCTTTACCACACTATAAATGTCGAACAGTGGAGTTATAGAATAACTCAATGCCAACAAGAAGAGCCACTACTTCTGCATTAAAAAGAAAGTATAAAAAGCCTCAAACAAGTAGAATTCAAACCTTGAATCATGCCTAGCAGGTGAAGGCGAGCGAGAGTAAGCTGTAAACAAAAAAAACAATAATTGAGCTCGTATTAAAACAGAGAATTATCTTCAAAAACCATATCCTATTAATGAGATCTATTTAAAAAGAAAAGTTAAGAGAAACACATAAGTAGAAAATTTAAACTGACAGCGATATCTGCATCTTGGGGACCTTGGTGGTGTTCTCCTGCTTCCTCCGTGTCGACCACTTCAAACAAAATGAAAGAGTAAACAATGCTTGATCATGTCAGCATTTTGTTTTAACACTCAGGTGTCAGAAAATAACCATGAGATTACATAAGAGAGAAACCAGTTGTGGCACCTTGTGCGGGTACTCAGGCGCATTTCTTGAGGAGTTTTTCTATTTTCCTCAGCAAAAACAATCCTTATCTCACGTCCACCAATAACTTGATGATTCATTCGTTGTTTTGCTTCAGCTGCATCTTCACCATATCGAAACTTCACAAAACCAAAGCCCCTTGGCTCCCTACAATTTCAAATCATAACAAAGCACAATAGAAGTTGGACACCTTTATTGTTACGAAAAACAAAATATCAGCAGGCCAACAAACGAGTAGAAAAACAATTTCTCCAAAGAATATTATTATGTTCTTATTTTCAGTTCAAAGCAATACAAGTACCAACATACAAATCAAAATCTGAAATATCCAGGAAAAAAAAAACACACGAATAAGAATATAAAACCGAGCAATAGCATACCCCGTGTAATAATTTTTTGGCAGATACACGTCCTTCACTGGACCGTACCGCTCAAACGGAACCCTAAGATCTTCTGGCCTGCAAAGAACAATGAAATCAAACTTGTAAGTCTCTCTTTCCAACAAGAGAAACTTCCTCTGACACAAATTTAATAAAAAATTCTTCAAAAATTTAACTAAATTCAAATTTCCTCTCCCCTATTCAATCGAATAAAAAAAAACTAAACCAAATTACAGTTAAGGACTTAAAAATCAGTGTTTATGAATAAACGGAGAGAGAGAGAGAGAGAGAGAGAGGGATAGAGTTAAAAACCTAGCGTCGAGAGGGAGGTTGCGAATGAGCAAGCCGGAGGGAGCAGGGGATCGGCGGTCTCGGTGGGAGCGGTAACGATCGCGAGGGTCATCCTCGTACCTCTTCCTGCCACGTGTCGGCGTCCTGCTAGGGCGACGTGGACTGTAGCTTCTACTTCGGCTCCGATACCTCCCCATCCCCTAACGCAAAACACAAAACCCTAGAGCAGAAAGGAGAGAGAGTGAGGGGTTTCTTTTCTTTTGGGGCGGGGAAGGGGGGGGCGTATTTAGAAAGTTTTGGAGGGAGAACAGAAAAAGCAATGAGGGGATTGGAGAGAGCGAAAGCAAAGGTAAAATTTACCTTTAGTGAGGTTGAGAGTGAGTGCGAAGGGTTAAAACGTAGGAAAGCACCTGCCCTTTTCCAATCTCTAAAACATTCGTCAAAGTCAACGACTCGGACGAGATTTTAAAGCCCATTGGGCTTTATCTCATTTCGTTGACATGTCTGAAAATCACAAAAGGGCCCAAACTTGTAAGGCCTCATCTCACCCTGTTGGACTCAATGCATGGTGGACTTGAAACACAAATTTGAGCCCATCCCGATTATCATTAAATTAAATATTCGAGATATTTCAAATAATATCTTTGGCCATTAGAATTTGCATATTTAACTTGAAAGTTTCAATTGAATTATATTATTATTACATGATTCAGGATTTACTAAGTCTCTATATTTATACTGGTAAAAAAAATTAAAGCTTTATTCAAAATTTTGTTTTTCATATAAAAGTTCAATTTGAACAAAAAAAGAGAAAAAAAAATTACTCCACCTTGATTAGATTAAACTAATTTCAAACTCAAATTGAACTTTGTGTGTTTTACTTAAATGTTTACATTGAAAATTTATTTATTTATTTATTTTTAACCAACTCCAATAATGTGATCATCAAAACTTCAATAGTAAATATGACATTTATCTCGATTTTATAATACAAGCTTTTACATATATATATATATATATATATTAAGATCTAACATTTATCAATATTTTCATTTCAGAACTCAATTTGTTATTATTTTTAATCCAATTATGATGTAACCTTTTGAATTTTGTCCATTTTAAAAAATTTGATAACAAAAGTTAGCATGACTAATGGTCGTTACGTGACTATATTTATACACTAATGTTGGATTTATTTAGTTTTTAATTTAATAATTTTTTTAAAAAAATTGAATTTTAATTTAAAGAAAATAATAAATTGAATTGCCGGAATGAAAATCCAACACAATTAGCTAGTCATGGTTGGGTTGGGCTTATGGGTTGAAAGGAAAGTTCAGCCTTATCTTTTCTCTTTTCTTTTTCCATTTTGGTAGTTGCTTTCTTTATTTAAACCTTATGCTAACAGTTTTGTCACTAATCCTTACTTCTAGTGCAATCCTCAACCTTTAATGCAAAACCCTATTCCAACTAAAGACAAATTTCAGTATTTCAAAATTTAACGTGAATTATTATAATAATTGGAAATGCTGAATGACAATATTTTATTTTATTTTATGGTAATCATAACGGCAAGCATGATCAATTGATGAGTGACAATTAAAATTCTTATTTTTTTTATTACCATCATTAATCTATGGTCAAAGCATCTCATGAATATCATGAAAAATAAATAATATTTTTTTTCTAATTTAATTTTAAAATTTCAATTATTGTAAAAATAATTATCATTAATCAAAGTTATGTTATTAGTTATTTTCTATAAATTGAACTAATTCATTTTTTTTCTTTTTATATACAACAATAATATGTTCGAAATTCAATTTTATTTCAGCTTGAAAAATTAATGATTCGTTAAGTTGCATTCATCAAGAGAGTAATGTGGTACACATCAACCTTAATTAGAAGAAACGAGACAAGATTAGAGTAGTTTGTGAGTTGAGATTGGAGTTGATTTTAACAATATTAATTATTCAAAATCAATGTAACTTGAATTAGGAATCGAGACTCAAACAAAAAAAAAATCAAGTCAACATTAAATCATGCACAAATTTATCATCTTTAAAAAATGCTATATGCATATTTAATAAAAAAAATCATATGTTTTTAAAATTAACAATGTCTATAAACACTTGTTAAGATTAATTAAATTATTATTTTTAAATTTAAGAACAATTAATATATTTATTATAAATATATTGCTATTTTGCATAATAATATATTTTTTTAATGAAAGGCAATAATAATAATAATAAACTTTATAATAAAAAATCCTTTGGAGAGCGTTGAGGCCAAAGCAGCACCATCTAAATGTCTGACTTTTGGCTACTGACAAGCATCTTCCCCAATAATATCCCATTTTATTGGAGTAAACGTGTCATCACATATCCTCTTCATCTCTTTCGACAACGATCCTCCACCTTCCAACTTCCACTCGCTTCCCTTGCACGCATTCTCACAACCCAGCGCGTGCTGTCGCCTGCGCGTTGCACCGTCATATACCATGTCGCCACAATAACCACAATTGCTTAATTTATTAATAAAAAATAAAAATACAGTAAAAAGAAAAAAAAGTAAAAAAAAAAATGGGGAACGAGTTCTACTCGAGTCGCCACCTAATCTTAAACTGACCCGACCTCCTCTTCGATTTCTTCCCTTTTCCGTCAACTAATTCAACAACCACTAACCAAATCATCTGGACTTTTTAGGGTTTTCATTTGTAATGGAACGAGCTCCATCTCCTCCTACAACGCAGACGCCACGCGGCTCTCGAAGGTCTAAGGATCCAGAAATGGACGTTCATGTTGGGGTGAACGAAGCTGACCCGACCTCCTCCGTTTGGGACTGGGGCGATCTCCTTGACTTCACCGTAGACGATCACTTCTCCATCTCCTTTGACGACGAGAACTTATCTCCTTCTCCGGTAGAAGCTCCAGCTCCGGATTCGGATCCAGTTCCCGGGCCGGATCGTGTCAGGAAGCGGGACCCTAGGTTGACTTGTTCAAATTTTCTAGCTGGTCGCGTCCCTTGCTCGTGCCCCGAGATCGACGAGCAAATCGAGAAGCTTGAAGAGGAAGAGGCGGGGGCGCCGGGAAAGAAGCGAGCCCGAACAGGTAGGATCGGGTCAGGGACGTGTCGATGCCAAGTTCCGGGTTGCGAAGCGGATATTAGCGAACTTAAAGGTTACCATAGGAGGCATAGGGTTTGTCTCCGATGCGCGAACTCGAGCACCGTTTTGATCGATGGAGAAACGAAGCGATATTGCCAACAGTGTGGCAAGTAAGCTCTATTGTACTCTCTTTTCTTATTTTTGCTAACTTTTTACCTCTGCCATTCACGTTTTAGGTTAAGCTTAAGACAATCTGCTTGTAATTTATGCTTTATTGTTGATTTTTAAGGATTTTTTGAAGTATAATTGAATGCATAATTTATTTGTATCTTTAGGTTAGAAGTGAAATTTTAGAATTACATTTTAATTTTCTCAAAAAGTAACTAGCAAAAATAACAACAGAAGGGAGCCTTGCAGTTGTAATTCAATTTTCCCCCTTTGGAAATTCAGTGGAATGTACAATTGAATACATGCTTTGTGTTTTTGGTTAATGGAAGTCTATAGAAATGATAATTTTGAATTCTAGACCATGAATGAAGTTGTTATTTATGGTTAGATGTAAAAGCTGGATTGTTTTTGTTTTTGTTATTTCTTGTGTTGAACTGTTTATTTTGTCTATCAATTACTTGTCAGGTTTCACCTGCTGTCGGATTTTGATGAAGGTAAAAGGAGTTGCCGAAGGAAACTAGAGCGTCACAACAATAGACGCCGTAGGAAGCCTGTTGGTTCTAAGACTGTGGCCAACAATGAATCCCAAGGGGCTGTGCGGAGTGAAGATGTTGCATGTGGTGGTGAAGAAGGAAAAGGTTCTATAAATTTAGTTTAATGAAGCTAGTTGTGGATGGAATCATCCTTCCTTGTAGGAGCTGCAAGTTTTCCTTCCATGTTGGATAATGTGTTCTTATGTATTATACAGATGGTTCAAGCTTGAGTGGCCAGATAGCTGAAGAAGAAGCAGCCTTTGAGTCTGAAGACGGGCATGGTTCCACTCATTGCTCAGCTCGCATGTTACAGAGTGTTAATAATGATAGTGTTGTAACTCTTATTGACACTGAAATGGATAGAAGGAAAGATGACTCCAAGTTCTCACTTTCTACTTCTTACTGTGACAATAAGACTGCTTACTCATCTATGGTGGGTTCTTTGATTTGTTTATGCTAGCTGCATTTTGTCTCAGTTTTTGTTCATAAGAGGAAGCTTGCCAGTGATATTTTTATTGATTGTGTGTTTCATTATAGTGCCCTACAGGCAGGATCTCATTCAAGCTTTATGATTGGAATCCAGCAGAATTCCCTCGAAGACTTCGGCACCAAGTATTTAAAGAATTACTCTTACAGTTTAGTATTTAAATAAGTAGAACCATTTTTTGTGGTTAGAGATCTGAGGAATCGATGACATATGGCTAACTGAATCTACAGATTTTTCAATGGTTGGCCAACATGCCTGTTGAGTTGGAAGGCTACATCCGCCCTGGTTGCATAATCTTAACTGTGTTTATTTCAATGCCGAAGAATATGTGGAACAAGGTAACACTTCAATCAGATGGTTTTGATCTCTTTTTAGGCTATATTAGATCATGTTTTGACCTTACAGAGTTGTCTACATACATCACACACATCAATATCTGAGTTTAAAGCCAATAACGTGTTGTCCTCTTTCTTTTTCTCTCAGCCAGAAATGTAAAGAGAAAAAGCTTTTGCTGATATTCCCTTAACTACATAGTTTTGGAAGTCTTGAGTTGTTAATCTGGTATTTGTAACTTGCTTGTGTTTATCAGCAACAAATGATCATTTGGTTTATGCCTATATGGTATATTCATCAAATAACTTAGAATGTACATAAGAATGCAATTTGTTAAAGTGTGGAAATTTTGTTGGTTATTGTGGATGTGCATTAGGGAAATTCCCTACATATCTCTATAGACAATTTGGAAATATGCTATGTTCTTGAGTGTTTTATGCCCTTATTTGTACTTAATTAATGTTGATGGTCAATGTGAATGTAGGCCAACCTTGAGATTAGTTTTTCTGGTAATTGCTCTTGCATTTCTGTCCTCTTTCATGTTTTTGGCAGATTTGACAGGAACTAACGTCATTTTTTCTTCTACCAAACAGTTATCTGAAAATCCCATGACCTACATGTATGACTTTGTCTTTACACCTGGAAGGATGCTATATGGGAGAGGCTTCATGACTATTTATCTGAATGACATGATTTTCCGTACCAGGAAAGGTGAGAATAGCATGTAAATTTCACTAACACATTATT